CACAGGATAAGAATCATGAACGGATTTAGTCATAGGAATATGCTTTTCAATTGCATAATTTAGCAGTTCATAAAATCTTTTTACCATTTCATTAGGATTAGTAAAGGAACTAAAATCCCATGACACCGATTCTAGATAATTATTTATAGGTAGTAATTTTTATAAAGGTGACTAACACCTTTATAAAAATTACTTTTGGTAGTACGTACTTTTCTATTGCTTTCCAATAAGATTTTCATTTTAATTAAAAGTGGAGGATGAAACTTGTCAATATTTCTTACAGGATATTGTGTCTCCACAACATCCAATACTTCTTTATTGCAAAGTATCAAATCTAATATATTATTTTTTATGTTAGTTACACAGTTAAATTGTTTTAAGTTATTGAGACTTATAAAATCAATAAATTTACACAAAAGTTCATTGCCACCGAATCCTGATGGTAACATATTATTAAAGGTGTCGTTTCTATGTTTGCCGAGCCAAATTACTCCACTCAAATTGAAGTCACCGGCAATAAGTGTGTACTCCCTATCAGTGCGGGATCCAAGTATACCATTTGCTTTATCTATAAAAATGTCTAAAGTATGTTTAGTGACTGGAGGGGGTAAATACACAGCGCATAGTAGTATTGTAATTGGGTTTTGGTAGTGTTACGAGTAGATGTTACCAACACCCAAACGTCTTCACAATCAGTTTCCCACTCTACGATACGGCTTGACGCGAGTCGTTCGGCTACATCAATAAACACACCCTCGCCTTTTTTCAACCCTGATAGAGGAGAGGTTTCACGGTCTCGTCTGTACACAACATAGCCACTGGCAAAAATTTCAGCATCATAGCTACCGTTATTGAACCACGTTTCTGTGAATATATAAGTATCGTATTTATTATTAATAATATGTTGACGTATTTCTCCTGCATTTGTGTTTAAGCCTCTTACGTTTTGGTAATATATGCTTAAATGATCTAATAACATACAAGTTAATCAAACAAAACAGTTTATATAAAATAAAATAAAATACCTCTATACACTAAGTTTGCTATGACAGCTAATTTAATTCAGACAATTCTTGGATGTTTTTTATTAATTTGTACTCGGATGTTTCAGTCTTACGCATAAATATTCTTCCTCCCCTGACCCAGACAAATTTATAGTTGAGTTCTTTTGCCTTAGATCTCTCTGCAGCTTGTATTTCCTTTTCGGCAGGTGACAGATGTTCTACGACAAATACTGGCTGTTTGTCACTGCCAATGCCGAGATGACTACTATTTAGCTTTTCACTTTGACTCTTAGCAGTTTTGTTAAATCTATGTGTAGCAGCTAAAAAGTTATCACGTAATCTTGGGGAACCAAATTTTATTACAACAGATCTAGGGCGTCGGCTATCCCTATTTAATTTAGCTACTCTAGTGCACAGTTGAATATCTGATCCCTCCAACTTGCAGTTGACTATGTTGGCAACTTGTTTAACTATTGTGATTAAATTTTCAGACTTATGTTCAGGGATATTTTGTATTTCGAGATTGCTGGCCCTGGCGTGTTGTTCAAGTCGAGTAAGTCTGTAGTTAAGGTTGATGATTGTACTTCGCAGTGTTGTATTTTCAGATTCTATTACACTAATTTTTTTACAATAGGATTGCACTTCGTCTTGAATATGTTCTAGTTGACTTTCAACTTTGGACATAGATTCAGATATTTGATTGAATTTATCAAGAACTTTCTTTGTTTTTAACTCTAACTGTTTAACTATGTTGATTTTGAAACTTTCAAAAATACATTCAAGCTCTTCTCTAACAATTTGCCGTATGCTGTCGGCTGATTTTTCCGACTTTTGTACTGCACCCCTTTTTAAATTTACATTTGTTGAGAACTACTCACTGTCCGACTCAGGTTGACTTATAGTTGCTTTAATTGGTGTGTCAGTATTGTCAAATTTTGGTATCTTACTACGGCAACATGGACAAGTCCATTGAGATTTCAATTCCTCCAGTAAGTCTTTTAGTGATTCTTTTAAAGTTGACACAGTTAAGATGATATTTAATTTTACAGGATTAACAGCTTAATGTATTAGGTGATGACGTCTGTCTTTCACAAGATCCAAATTTCACTCTTGCTTGTGGCATAATTGCTTAAATGAGCTAAGAGTAGTATACTTCGTTTTTATCGCCATATAAAACCCCATGCAGCACAAAAGCAAGTGAAATTACTTATTTGAACGCTGCACAAAGCAATATGATATTTTATGACTCACACAGCAGCGGGAGGCGGTAACTCGAAGCGTATACACTCAATCGTTATTTGACTTAATTTCGAAATTAACTTGTCTGATAACTTCGAATACTTTATAGGTTGAAGTTAGTCATTTACACTTTAAGTTAGGTCACTTAGTTAACTGTATGTTTATGCAAAAAATTAGGCGTATTAACAAAACTTTACCACTGTATTATTTATTACTTCACGAAGAACAACATGTCTATATTGTTTAACTACCCCTGCTCTGATCAGGACATAGGACGCGAGAAGTGTTTTCTGACAGAAAGTTAGCAGATATTAGAAAATAAAGCCACAGGAGATTACCACGAGACAATGAATGCGAATAGTATTGAAAAGTGGTTCAGCAGTGCTTTAACAAAAGTTGAACTAAACGCAGTTATTGTGATGGACAATGCGACATACCACTCTAGACGCCAAGAACGATTGCCGGTCACAAGTTGGAGGAAACAAGCCATTCAATAATGACTATCTTCAAAGGATATAATATTTGAAAATAAGGAAACGAAAGCTGAATTACTTGCAAAAGTAAAAAATGTTAGAGAAAAATACCAATCGCGTATCACCATCACCGACGAAATGGCAAAACAGGCCGTTATTTAAGTTCTGCGCTTTCCGCTCTACCACTGCGAACTCAATCCTATTGAGCTGGTCTCGGCAGATATTAAAGGCTTCGTGGCGCGAAACTATACCACTTTTAAAATGGCAGGTGTCAAAAAACTATTTGAAGAAGAGCTAAATATTATTGATCATATAAAGTGGAAAAACAGCATTAACCACGTTATAAAAGAAGAAAACAAATTAAATGAATTGGATAATGCCAATGATAAAACTGTAGATAGTTTTATAATCAATGTGGCGAACTTTTCCACGTCTTCATCATCAGAAAAAAATATTCTGAAATAGATACAGAAGCATTGTCAAGTGTCTTTGACAATCTATTAGGGGAAGTTTTATGCATACTTCAAGGTTGATTGCTAAAGAATGCTTAGTATTAAAAGTTTGCCATTATATCCGACTGCCAAGAAGTGGTTATGTTTTGTACAACTACCTACCTACCTACTTATTATACTATTTACATACTGTCAACGTAATAATGAAAATTGTATTAACTTTTATGATTTATATATAATAAATTTAAATTAATGTTAATTTGCTTTTTAATTCACATAAGTACAGGATAATCTTCTTTCTTTATAATATAATAATACACAGGGCCTCCGAAGAATTTCGCACTCGGCATTCTTATCTTTCACTCTGATGTCGTATGTTTTTTTTTATAGGATAGGGTGACAAACGAGCACACAGTCCACCTGATGGTAAGTGGTTGCTGTAGCCCATAGACAAGTTACAAATCAAAATGTAGATGCGTTGTCACCTGTGAGGACTAAGATGGAATGCCTCTTTTCCAGTAAAAAGGGTCTCCAGTTCTCTACACTCACCATACGAAACACAGCAGTGTTAAGCTGCTATTTGACGCTGGTATTCTGTGAGTCCGTGGTCCTTCCCCGGCCGAGCCGATCCATTCATGCTACAACTATACTACTAATAAAGCAGCCTAGCTCTACCACGTACTAAAACTGACATGATAAAATGATGAAAAAATTAAACCTAAACAAAAGGTTGGCTATCTTTGATGATATATTCAAAGGTCAATGTACGTTTATTCGCCTGCCCTAGAAACATACTATAGATAAAATCAATAAACTGCCAAAATATGCTTTAAATTACATTCAATAATACCACATAATCAATACCATACCACAAATCATTGACGTCATAATAAATTTGCTTCGGACGTCACGACGTTCACAAGTATTTTTGCTTATTAGTCAAAGTTCTAGTATAAAGTCAGTTGAAAACCTGTAAATTAATAAATATTTTATAATTATCTATCGTCAGTGACTTTCATTGTTGTAAACAGATATAGGTATTATCTACAAGGAACTCGTCAACCCTATTGAATTTTATTGTTTATCAAAAGCAGGCAATTTAAAGTCATACATGTTAGGTAGTAATTACATTGAATAAGATAAGAGACAAATTTTTAAGAGCCTATACTATCAAATAGTTTTAATTTTTTTAAATAAACTGTAAATCCACTTACCTGCGGAATTCATCACTTCCCTTCTGGTAACGAATTTTACATTATCATTGTAACTGAAAATACTTTTTCAGTTACTACTACAAAACACATACTCTTTTTCTCATTCAAAAATTTAAAGAACTCTTAGACGTTTTCAGTTTCAAAGTAGGTCAAATTTAGTTGGAGGTGCTGAGGTGCTCTTTTGACCATATAAGTAAGACATATTAATCTATCATTTTTGACTACATAATTTTAATAAACATAATAAATAAAATTTCAGCAAAGTAACGCCTGATTCTGATAATTAACATCACAATGTGACGCATCAGCAGAATGTAAAGAATCGTCAAACTAGGCTGTATATCCCCATATCTTTTTGCCTTATAATAAAAAATATAGTTTTGCATGGTTTTGGCGGGACCGCGGGACAAATAATTTTTTAAATGTAACGTTTTAGTTTGTAAAATTTATTTAACTGTTTTAATATTCAATTGAACAAATCTTTAATAATACCTTTGTATTGTATGCAGAGATAATGACTAACAATCTGTAAGAATTAAGTATTTTTAAGATAAATATTGAACGTTAAATTAAATACTTCGTTATATTAATAAAGTATGTAGCGCTAACTTTACAGACTTGTTAGACGACGAAATATATAACTCCCAACCGATTTCCTTGCCGTCTTCTAGTACAACTGATCCAGAACCACATGATATAAAAATAGACAGACCACCAAAGAGAACTGGTGAAAGCGGCGGCTTAAGAAGTATTGAAGAAATAGGTTAGTGATCTTTTGTGAATTTACTACTAACTTATAGTTACGGTTGAAGCTATGATTAACTTCCCATTTCTAAATATACAACGGTTTTGGTATTTGATACAGTTACACTCATTTTAATATTTAATATACCTATAACAAATAAGAGGAGGCCTGCGCCCAGCAGTGGGACGTATATAGGCTGTAACTTTAACTTTTTTATGTAACATATTATTAAGACGCCTCTTTGGTCTAGTAGTCGTAAACGCGACTGATGATTTTGATGTCCCGGGTTGGAATCCCAGGTCAGGTCAAAAATCCATTATTGGGTTTTTCTGCCTAGAAATGCTCAGTAGCAGCCGAGTCGGAGTCAGGAAGTTGGCAGTGTTATACCCCAGTGCCTCGGAAAGCAAGTAAATCCGTTGATCCTGCGCCTGTTCTCTCTCCGGTCGTGTCGGATTACCTTTCCTATCGGAATATGAGAGCGAGGGAATAGAGTGAGTTCTTGTGCTTGCGCCCACACTCGGGCACTATAATCCTGTCCTGCGCAGAAGGCTAGCCTCCGTTGAGGCTGGTCGCCATGATTGATATTCGGTTTGGACGACATTATTATTATTAAGACGATTTAATAACAGCACTTAATCAAAAAGGAAAAAGGTAAAAGTCCTTCAAGATACTTCACTTGCTCGCGGTGAAGAATCTTGCCAATCAACGATCAAGTCTCTGGCAACAGACTCGGGGCCGCAAATTTATCCAAATACGTACCTACCTTCATAATCAAACAACGATGATTGGTGATCGGAAGCTGCGTCACCAGTGCGGAGGCGTCTGCTTTATACTCACCAACCCCAGCCACCAGTATAGCTAAGCCTAGCTTTAGTGTGTACGGCAAAATTTTTAGACATTGAATGACATGACATGACATAATTTGATACCGCCTATAATACCCAATAGTGGAAAATTGTACAGGCTCTATTGAGGAAGGAAAGAAGTTGGAAATCGCTTCATCTTTCTTTGCTATTTAAAAAGAAGAAATTTTTAATAAGACTAGTAAAAAGGGAAATGAAATAAGAGATATTCATATTCTTGATACCAATTCGAAATAATAAAACACTGCGGTTTACAACTTGCCTGTCAAGCGCGGCAATTATGGCAAATATGGCAAATAATCTCCTATGAGGCAATCTACGACTCCCCCATATTCAGCTATGATTGAAATGTTGGCAATCATAACGATTTGTCTAAAACCATACTTAGCATCGACATAGGTATTTCACGACTCATATTGCTTTTAAAATAAAACTTACTGATCATTTTGTCATCGAGCTCCTCATTAAAATTATATTTTGCCTATTTGATTTGATAAGAATAGAATTTATTTTATACTTTCTTAAAAATAAGTAGAATACTGTGTATAACATTTACCTACCATGTTCTCTTCAAATAACTAAACGTATTTTCCAACAGATTTTCTTCTACATACGTTATTTGCATAGTATCTTATTATCTTGATTGGATGTTATTTTAATGTAGATGTCTTTGGGCCACAGCATCCACTTACCATCAGGTGGACTGTGCGCTCATTTGTCAACCTTATCCTATAAAAAGAAATTTAAAAAAAATATAATACAAAACACCCATGGCCCAGAAGTGACCAGACCCAAAAACCAATAATTTGTGTTTTTACACAAACGTCGGCTTCTATTTGAACGGCCGGGATTCAATGCGGCGTAGTAGCCAGGTATACTAACCACTAGGACATCGGATGATGCCCATATAGTGTCATCATTCATGCGATATAAGTTTAGTTAACAACAACACTTATCAACTTTGTACATAAATACATTTTCATTACAGATCCGAAATATAGGAATGTATTTTCATACCAATACTTCAATCTCGTGCAGTCAAAAGTAATTGAAGATGCTTTGTATTCAGGTACAATTATAATGTTTTTATGCTTTCTGTTACTATTTTTAATATTTTAAAATATGCCTGTTAGTTAATTTAATGTTAAGTATTATCTTCTGAAGTCTTTAAGCCGAAAAAAGGAAAGGCTTCCCAAACCAAACTTCTCAGACACCCTCTGAATTCATAGTCTTTACAGGTGGAAGTCTAAACCAAGTGATTATGACGTTTAAACGCTCATAATAAATTTTTTGAAGTTTTTTGAATTTGAATTGCAAACCACAATTCTTTAAAAAATTTAGTTTATTAATTTTATAATATAATTCTATCGCGTTTAAATTGAATTACTTTTTAATTTTTATCGGTCCGTAAAAATCTATTTTAGGGGCATTGGACTAAACATCGTAGTTTAGACATGACGCTTGAGTAACGAAAAAGGGAGCGCTAAAAGTAAGCCCTTAGCGTTGAGAATATCTCGCCTTAATTCACTCTTGGCAGATGGATTGATGATCGCTGTTCCAGACGTCTCGTAAGTTAAACGCAGCTGTCAGTCGCCGGTCCGGGTATTTTACGCCTGCCGCAAACGAGATGGTTAGACCGCCGTCTATCGGACACCATAAGCTTTCAAATAGCTTCTAGCATATCAAATAGTCGCCTCTTAATACAACTGCTGACAAAAAATTTCAAAACTCCCGAAACAAAAAGAGCCGATGATCTTCAAACGGGTGAAAAGATTTTCTTGAAACATAGCTAGAAACACTTTCGATTAAGGCACCTTTGAAACAAAAAAAACTTAATTGAAATCGGTTCATCTGTACAGGAGCAATGATGCCACAGACAGACACACAGATACTGTGTATCTGTGTGTCTGTCTGTCTGTGTCTGTATCTGTATATCTGTGGATATACAGATACACACTACAAACATATAACACACAGCTCGACCGGGGAAGGACCACGCTCTCACAGAATACCAGCGTAAAATAGCAGATTAATGCTGCAGTGTTTCGTATATTGAGTGTAGAGACTAAGACCCTTTTTACTGAAAACGAGGCATTTCATCTTAGTCCTTACGGCTGACAACGCATCTGCATTTTAATTCGCAAACGAGGATAGATGTAGATGTCTATGGGCCACAGTAACCACTTACCATCAGGTGGACTGGGTGCTCGTTTGTCATCCATATCTTATAAAAAAACCTGTTTCCGTCTGGGGTTAAAAATGGAGTCTCTTTTCTTAGGCCGTCATTACAGAGCAGATTGCAAATAACACATCATATTATGGTACAAATGTTTGCACGTATTCAAAAAAACTTGACCTAGCATTTGGTTATTGTTTGGTACGTCCGATGTCACATTTATACTTTAAGGCCTAGTGTACAACGTAGGCTTGGATGGAGTGACAGATATAAATTAATCATATGCATACATATCTCAAATGATATTTGTGGTTTGGCAATGTTTTAATTATGGTAGGGATTAAAATCTATAAAACCCGCCCCGGGTCGTACGGATGAATTTCTGAATCTCGACCACAACGCCACATACATGGTCAAATTGTGAATCTAAACCATTCTCTAATCAACTTAATCACACATAAAATTGTATCAAAATCGGTCCAGCCGTTTAGGAGGAGTTGAGTCACGTACACACGGACAGAAGAATTATATAATATATAATATGTATGTATTACACATATAAACATTTCTCTTGAATCATTCTGTCTATTGATGAAAACCGCATCTGCAAAATCCGTTGCGTAGTTTAAATGATCTAAGTGTACAGACGGCGGGAAGCGACTTTGTTTTATACTATGTAGAGAGAGAGACACCGTGCTATCGTCGATGTAATTCAATATCAACAACGTAGAGTCATCTACGAAATTATTTGCAACGCGACATGTGTAATTAAACTGACTTAGATGGTTTTGAAATTGATTAACGCTGTGCTTGCGGTTAAAATAATTAGGTCGATGCTTCATTATTTATTGTAATGTTTTCAAACTGTTTTGTTTCAATATACTTGCGATACACTGAAAGTTTTGCGTTATTCACAAATAAAACTATATAATGTGTAAGCTACTAGTGTTTTTCATTACATTTTAAAGACTTTTTCATTCGCTTACACGTGAAATATGAGAACCATTGGTCTGAGAGCATGTTTTTCACCTGCTGGTGAAAGCTATAAATCATCTTTTCTGATTTCGTAAATGTCAAACCTCTCATATAAGGTAATCGTATATCTCGTATATCTCTCTATTCTGAAAAGGTATCGTATATACCTTTTCAGAAGCCAAAAAATTACTTTGTCTTGTTCGCGATGTGCAACATCTCATCGGTGCCCCTCTGGCGGCCATATATTAGTAGTTATAACTACGTTTTTGCAATTAAACTATTATTATTAGTTTAAAAAAGTAGTCCATCTGCCGTGACAAAGAAAATATCTCAATGTCAAGGTAAGTATGGAAGAGATTCCTTCGGAACCTTCCATCTGCCATCGTAGAGAATCACACTCGATACCAACGTGAACACACACACACACACACGCGCACACGCGCGCACACACACACACACACACACACACACACATACACACACACACACACACACACACAGCCGGGAATAGTCGGAACGGCTTCCTAGGAGATCTGATGAAAACTCGCATTCTCAAAATCGGACCGAAATCTATAATTTCCTACTTTTGAAAATAATTAATTTTCAAAGTGAATTCAGAGAAATTAAATGAACTTTTGCTCGAAATAAAAGCCGACTTAAAAAACTAACAAGTGGTAAAATTAAAACATTTGTACAACCGACTTCAATATAAAATATTAGGATAACTCAAGAAATACTGGTCAGACCTTGATCAAATTTATATGGGACCACATGAGAAGTACCAGCTTTCAAATACAAAAAGGATAATCAAAATTGGTTCGCCGAGAAAAAAGTTATGAGGTAACACACATAAAGAAACATATAGTCGAATTTTGTACCTCCTCCTTTTTGAAGTCGGTTGAAAAGAAACATATTTTCAAATTCAAAACGTGGTATAGCCATGCTGCAGCTTTATTAGTAGTATAGTTGTAGCACGAATGGGTCGGCTCGACCGGGGAAGGACCACGCTCTCATAGAATACCAGCGTAAAATAGCAGCTTAACACTGCTGTGTTTCGTATGGTGAGAACCGGAGACTCTTTTTACTGGAAACGAGGAATTCCATCTTAGCCCTCACGGGTGAAAACGCATCTGCATTTTGATTCGCAAACGAGATGATAGATGTCTATGGGCCACAGCAACCACTTACCATCAGGTGGACTGTGTGCTCGTTTGTCACCCTATCCTATAAAAAAAAATGGGATTAATACGTGTAACTAAAAGTGATAGAGACAGCACAAGACTTAACGTCATCTTAAAATTGAGCAGTGCTTGAGTATTTGGGCAATAGTGTATAATATAATTTTATGAGCTGTAGTGAACGAATGATTATTTGCTTCATATTTTTCCAGACAAATCAATGGTTGTGTGCGCGCCTACCGGTTCCGGTAAGACGGTCGTTTTCGAAATGGCTATCGTTCAATTGCTGATGGAAATGGACAGCAATGCTTGTCATGAAGATTTCAAAATTATTTATAGTAAGTATTTGAATGTTTTTTATTGATAACAGTTTTACTGTACTAGCCGTAATGCACCGTGGTTAGCTCAGGGGCTGAGTGTTTGCCGTAGATTTAATAGCGAGCACCCGTGTTATATGTAATTAACCCTAGAACCGTACCCTGGGGTACAACTGAAAAAATATTTTTAAAATTGGCTATAACTTTTTTGTTTTATAACGGATCTTTTCGCACCGGCGCGTATTTATGGGGGACGGGGGGTTGTGTCGAAGCATCAGTCGGGCGCGAGTTCTGTTAGCGTGCGATCGTTGCAACGCGTGTGTGGGGTACTCCAGCACCCCTGGGTACAGTTAAGGTAATTATATTAGTTACTAATTACTGGATGTTTTTTATGAAATAAGCTATGCTATTTTTTTGTTTGATTCATGATTTTAATTTTAACATTGCAATATTACCTTAGAAGTAACTTTGTCTGCATACGATGTGTTTGTACTTAATATTTATTTGCAATATTTATACAATTTTATTTACGTTATTTTGTTTAGTAACGAATTTTTGTAATTCTTCTTTTTAGATGGCGTCCAGAAAAAACCTTTCAGAAAATGAAATTCAAAACCTCCTTCTGGACGTTCGTGATGAAGATGAAGTGTTTCTTGGGGATGAATTAGAAGATGAACTGGATGAAATTATTCCCGATTTTCGCGATGAACAGGTTCCTGTCGAAGAGGATGGCTCTAACCATGAAACAGATCTTGAAAGTTCGGAAGAAGAAATTGAAGAGGATATTGTCCAGGTTAGAATCACAAATTCTCCAGTAACAGTTCTTACAGTACCCGAAGTTTTGCGAGGTAAAGGAACAAAAAAGCAAAGAACTAGCGAAAAATTTCTATGGTATGGGACACAAAGAAATATAATATTTCATGCACCAGGAAATAAAGCTCTTGCTAAATTTACTACCAGTGCCTTAGATAGTTGGAAATTATTTTTTACGGATGAGATTTTGCATTTGATAGTAACTAATACTAATCTTGAGATATCTGAACAGCGCAAGAAGTATAAGTCAGACAGGCCTATAGCATCTCAAAATGATGATGATGATGATAATTCTGTTCCTACGAGTATTCGACCTTCTTTTGTCCGAGATGTAACCGTAACCGAATTAAAAGCTCTCTTTGGCTTATACTATTTAGCTGGAGTTTTAAAAATTAATCACTTGTCTGTCAAAGAAATATTTGATAAAAATACGGGCATCAACTATTTTCGGTCTACTATGAGTGAGAAAAGATTCGAATTTTTGACAAATTGTCTTCGATTTGATGATCGTTCGACCAGAGCTGAAAGAAGACAACATAGTAAATTGGCACCAATAAAAGAACTGTTCGATCACATTGTTGAAACTTCAAAAAGTCTTTATTCACCTTCAGATTGCACAAAGATTGACGAGCAATTACTTGGGTTTCGCGGTAGATGCCCATTCCGTATGTATATTCCATCAAAACCCGATAAATATGGAATAAAACTGTTAATGTTTTGTGATGCAAAATCGTATTATATGATAAATAGTATAATATACACTGGAAAAGATTCTACACCACGTGAATTACCAGTGGCTGAGTATTACGCATTGGAGCTTTCAACTTCTATTCATGGGTCTAATAGAAATATCACGTACGATAACTGGTTTACTTCAATACCTGCTGCCGAAAAACTCTTAACCAAAAATGTTACAACAGTTGGAACAATGAAAAAAAACAAAACAGAAATCCCTACTCATTTTTTGGAAACCAAAAACCGCCTCAAATCAATGTTTGCTTTTCATGACGAACTTACTTTGTTATCATATGTGCCTCCAAAGCTAAGTAAAGGAAAAAAGAAAAACGTGATTATGCTTTCTACTATGCACTATCAACCAGACGAAGACAAATCTGTTGATTTACCAGAAATAATAAGTTTTTATAATCAAACGAAAGGAGGAGTGGACACTTTTGATCAGCTTTGTCATACATACAGTGTTTCTCGCAAAACTCGTCGCTGGAGCCTTTGTGTATTCTACGGAATTTTGAACATTGTGGGAATTAACTCCATGATATTACTGCATTCATCAAAAGCCAATGGTAAACAAGTTTTCAAGAACAGACGGAGTTTTCTGAAGGCCTTATATTTTGACTTTATAAAACCTTATTTGGAGGACCGATTTTTATATAAAACTTTGCTTATGCATCTGCAAATAAGTATTGGCGGTATTTTAGAAAAAACACGACCTTCTAGTGCTCCATTATCTTCAGATTCAAAATCTGGTAGATGTTCATTTTGTTCCAGGTCAAAAGACCGTAAATCACACACTCGATGTGAAAAATGTAAAAGTTTTATATGTTTAGAGCACCAAAAAAAGATTTGCCAAAATTATTAATTTAAGTTTGTTAATTTTTTGTTTAATTATGTAACGTGAGACTGAAATAAGTGCCATAAAAGACTATGTATGTTGATTATTAATAAATGTCTATTCTTATGTAAAAAAATGTTTTTTTTTAACGGGGTACACTAGAACCCCTGGGTACTGTTATTTAAAGTCTATTATGGGTACGGTTCTAGGGTTAAGCTGATTTATCATATAATTCGGCGGTGGAGTTAAGCCCGCACGTACTGCAACAGCGCGCCGAGCAACTGCTCCACAACCCTCTCGGAAATAAAAATTATAGTTTAAAAAACTAAAGTAACACCCTAAAGATAATATTATTTTATTTTATCCCGGTGATCCTGATCAGCATACTAGGATAAAGTTATTAAGTTGTTGTATTGTCATCGGTATATATCGATACAGGTGCAAATTTTAAGTCAGTCGGCCGTCTACAAGTTGCATGAGAATTACATTAGAACATTCCGTTACCTAGATAGATAGATGCATTCTGAAGATTCATTCATTCATTCTGATTGCAATTTTAAGAACTAATTTACCACGTGCTTGTTGGATGTTAGTGAAGGAGAATATAGGTAAAAATTTGCATGTCTCTCATTAGAAAAGATTTCGAAGACACATGAAATCAGCCAACACACACATTGGGGCGTTGTGGCGTACGTTTCCTTGCCCGGAAATTCTCTAAAGAATTAGTTCATACAATGCCTACTTTTAAATTTGTCGCTGTTACATTACATATTGTTTATAAATTTATTTTTCTTGTGTAAGAAATTTGTAGACTTAAATATGTGTATTGCGTAGTTTTTCTTAAACTACAATAATTTAATCTCAAAATATTTATCAATTAATGTCTGAAAAGTTTAAACACAAAAAGTAAATCCCATAATATTTTGATATTTCAAATTAAATTGTCATAAAAATATTGTGAACCCTTTTTATCCCTTATTAAAAACCACATCATGGGAACAATTCAAGGAACGGTTTTCATTGAAAAGTATATTTCCAGTGGCACCAATAAAAGCACTGTGCACTGAGAGACTGACTGAATGGTATCCGAAATTTACAAAACTTAATTTGCTATGCATCGAAGTGACGGGTGATACTGATGTGGACTTTTCACAATTGAAACCCTACAGGTAATATTGACATATTTATTTCATAGGAAATCATAATCTCATAGTGTGGCAACGCCGAAATCAAATCTATCATTTATTTCTGTCCAATTGCATTCCTCTGAATATATCACTTGAATAAAGAAACGGAATTATGTCGCCTATAATCAGGCTAGCGTAACTATTTTTAAGTTAAACGGCATCTGTCGAACTACAACACTTTCATTCGTAGTTCACTATTCATACATTAGAGAGTTTCATTGGTAAATATGAATTCTCTTCCATCGTTACCACAAAGCCAAATATTTATTATTTTTAGTTGGATTATTGTAGTGGTTTAAGACTCTTAAAAATATACTTTTTTATTTATGAGGTAATGGTCAAAGACATAAAATTTTAGAATTATAATAACAACGCCCGAGAAATGGGACATGCTGACTCGTAGATGGAGGGACAACAGAGGAATGGTGGAGGTCATTAAATTATTTCTAATTGACGAAGTGCACATTCTGAACGATAGTGTTCGAGGTCCTGTACTCGAGTCTGTGGTCAGCCGGATGAAGACTATTCAAGTATGTAACTAATCTATATATGTATATCATGTTTATCATAATCTGTTTCTGCGGACAAGCCATCATATTACGTGGTAGAGCCATGCTGCAGCTATATTAGTAGTATAGTTGTAGCACGAATGGGTCGGATAGAACGGGGAAGGACCACACTCTTACAGAATATTAGCGTAAAATAGCAGCTTAACACTGCTGTATTTCGTATGGTGTGTGTAGGGAACAGCAGACCCTTTTTACTGGAAAGGAGGCATTCCATCTTAGTCCTCATGGGCGACGCATTTGCATTTTAATTCGTACTCGAGGATAGATGTAGGTGTCTATGGGCCACAGCAACCACTTATCATCAGGTGGACTGTGTACTCGTTTGTCACTTTTATCCTATAAAAAAATAATCAGTACATACACTTTCGTATATCGTATAGAAGAGTATAATATGAAGAGCCATATGATGCATAACCACAGCGTAGTTCTCAGATTAATTCTCAGAGGTGACAAATGACAACTTGCCTGTTTTGCTTTAAGATGTCCATGAGCTCCAATAGCCAGATACCATCAAGTTTCTAATACAAAGCTACGTATGAGTATATGAGGTGGATGTTGGAGTCGAAGATTAATATCGCATGATACTACCCAAGTAGGATTTGGTCGACGAGTTCATTTAGAAGGGCAGCTTAGGTGGCTTGTCACTCACATAGCGGATGACCATCGCAGAGTCTATTACTCGTATATCTTGCGATAATACCTCTTTTAGAGGCGAAACACTTGTTTTAACAACGTTGGTGGGTACTGCTTATTGTAGAGTTCGAAGTTTAGTGCATGATTTAAGGAGACACTCTTGAAATTAGGTAATTTACATTAATTACACATGTTACACACAATTTTATTTTTTACGTGAATCTTAACTGATTAATTTTCACATCCTTAATCGCTTTAGAAACAGAAGATGTGAAACGTTTGGTACTGCAAACGGCATCCCGTCTGCAAACCGTCATAATTAGAGAAAATCCACCATAAAACGGCAGAGACCCATGTTTTATTTACAAGCTATTGTTAATGATAATGTAGATACCCACAGTCTATAGCTAATTGAATATTTTAAATGTCAAATAGCAACCAGTCGAATTTTCATTACGAAGAAAAATAATATTTTTCATCAGTCGTCAGTTCAGTCAACGCATCGCATCGAACTACTTCAGAGGCAAAACCAAGGCGATATAAGCATGTCTGAGCAAGAGACAGCAATGCCTAAAATTAGGTTCGTAGCGGTATCCGCTACTATCAGTAACCCTGAAGACGTTGCGGAATGGCTTGGGACTAGTAACAAGCCAGCTATATATCACAAGTAAGTTCGACAACACACATCACATGTTCCAAATAATATGGAAATCGAAGTAATGATTTCTTATATTTACGCAAACACTACAAATTGAATGAAATTACTTTTACGGATTTTATCGCGTTTAATTAACTTATTTTATATTCCCGACGTTTCGGTTGCTTTCCAGCAATCGTGGTCCATCAGTCCATCAGTCCCCCGTGACCACGGTTGCTGGAAAGCAACCGAAACGTCGGGAATATAAAATAAGTTAATTAAACGCGATAAAATCCGTAAAAGTAGTTTCATTCAACGAAATCGAAGTAATTATTTCTGTTAATAACTGGTTTACCCTTCAGGCCAGCGATGTTAAACTTATGAAACATATTTCGACAGTTAATTACTTTTTAACTGTTATTTATTTATTAAAAATATATATCTTAATTAATTTTACACGTGGTAGAGCCATGCTGCAGTTATATTAATAGTATAGTTGTAGCACGAATGGGTTGGCTCGACCGGGGAAGTTCTTTGTCCTCACGGCAGACAACGCATCTGCATTTTAATTCGCAAACGAAAATAGATGTAGATGTCTATGGGCCACAGCAACCAATTAATACCAGGTGGACTGTGTGCTCGTTTGTCACCCATATTCTATATATTTTTTTTATAGGATCGAGTGACAAACGAGCACACAGTCCACCTGATGGTAAGTGGTTGCTGTGGCCCATAGACATCTACATTTATCCTCAATAAAGAATCAAAAAGCAGATGCGTTGTCACTCGTGAGGACTAAGATGTAATGCCTCTTTCCCAGTAAAAAGGGTCTCCGGTTCTTTACACTCACCATACGAAACACAGCAGCATTAAGCTGCTATTTAACGCTGGTATTCTATGAGAGCGTGGTCCTTTCCCGGTCGAGCCGAGCCATTAGTGCTACAACTTATAGCTGCAGTATAGCTCTACCACGTAAATATTTTTTTATGTAATACTAAAATTATTTAACGGCAAAAAGTTTTTATATATAATTTTTTTATTATCCTAGGTAAATTTTTTTTACTGCAACTTGCCGGAACTTAATTGCTTCATTTAAATCCATGTTAACCTTTAATTAAAAATGTTTAAAGTAAATGTATGTGAGAAAGTTTTGAAAATGATAGGCGATCTTTGAAGCCAATACTCACGTCGTCAAGACCTTTATAAATTTTATATATTTTTTTAAACCTTTTACTAAGATTTGGCGATGAATGCCGTCCAGTGATACTAAAGCGCATTGTGGAAGGCTACCCCTGCCGCGAAGGCACCAGCATATTCAAATTCGATATTATTCTGAACTACAAACTGTGGCCCATTATACAGAAATATCACAATGGGAAACCCACACTGGTAAATATTATTTTTATATTAATTAGGCACAAAATAAATCTTTTAACTTTCTTTATAATTGTTAGCTAACAAAAAATAATAATATTAAAATAAAATAAATATATTCATAAATAATCGAATATAGAAAGTGGTCCCGAATTAGCTCTTATTTACTTATAGTGCCACAAGTGGTGCATGCAAACACGCCTCTCATTCGTCAAAACCTACCCGGACTCGACTTAGTGCTTAGGCGATAAAATTAGAGTAGGACCCTACGCCGTATAAGGCGACCCAGAAAACCACTTGAATTTTTTGCACATATGTTGACTGGGTTCAAACAAACGAACTCAGTTCGATTTATGCAAACTCAAGCACATGTTCTTGTGGCAAAAGAAAAACCATCGCCCATTTCATCCTATGAATATCATAAGAAGTGACTTAGGTTAAAATCCAGAAGATCTCGCGACCTCTAATAGACGGCAATATCATCACCTCGTATTTACACCAAATGTAAAATCGGTTGACAGACGCTGAGAAATAGCATAAAAGATAAGATCGCCAAGTTGCTTACCAAGAATGGCAGTTGAGCCAAATCCCGAAAGCGGCAGCAACTATGGGAGATGCTCATGCCCAGCGGAGTGTTAACAGGCTGATGAGAAATCATAAAGGTCGTAGTCTAAGTCTTATTTCAGGTGGAATTCATTCAAACATAGGTCGCACCATTTAAGAGGTGCGCATGCTTATAAAATTTCTTATCAGAATATATTAACTGCTTAAGTGGCCACATGCTACAGTTAAACCCATAAAGCTTTAGGGTGTTACATCTCGAATAATCAAGCAGGTCGATCGACGTCGACTAATCCATTCCACCATCGATCGATGTCATCGATCGACGGTCGATCCATATGTGTGTGGTAACAGCCTTAAGTAGTATGTTTTAGTGTATGTATTATGTGGATATAAATGTTGAATAATATTTATTGAAGAATAAATGAAAAAAAAAAATTGCTCTTGATTCTCTCGGCTCACAACAGTAACGTATAGTAAAAATAGTAGTGAAACGATTTGTTGGTGCTTCAAGATATTTTGCAACACGCGGAAAAGTGTATTACTAACAGCGGAGACGCTCTCCAAGGAGATCACAATAAACTTCAGCCCAGAACAGAAGGCGAAACTTGTCGCTTTGGCTTCAGTCATTAAAAATAAGAAAGTACAGGTGAGTATATATATATTAATTTGATATTGGTTTTTCAAATTCCATTTGTACTCCGCATGTTTATACATTTTGAGACAAAGTAAAATTGAAATATTTTTAGAGATATATAAAATATTTTTTTATGTCCGAAATCATTTGTAGTTGCAATCTATGAAAGCGCTTGTTCAATTCGTACACTTTTCATCGACTCTAGGCCTTCAGTTTAATGTCATATTATTTAAATATCCTATTTAGTATCGCTATTCGCAATATGTTAGTCAAAAGAGTCAATTTCTATTAAGACTGAAGTGGTATTCAACGAATTCGCTATTGTGATATAATAAGCAGGACTCCTTCCCCATCGCGGTTGGCCTCATCTTCCACGGTCTTCGATAGAGCTGGTTTCCCTATACCTCTTTATGAAAGACAAAGTTCCGGCTACTTCCTCAACATCGGATTTCATTAAAAAGCTCCATTGTTTTTTTTCCTATCATTAAGCACCGAGACTACGGTCGCACCCAAATTTTTAGTTACATGAAACACTTCATGCTCAGTCACATTCACGAAAAGTAGACAGACGGAGACGTATTTTTTTTTATAGAATAAGGGTAACAAACGAGCACACAGTCCACCTGATGGTAAGTGGATGCTTGCTGTGGACAATAGACATCTACATTTATCCTATGTTAAAAACCAAGATACAGATGCGTTGTCACTAACTGACTAAGATGGAATGCCTCGTTTCCAGTAAAACGTATGAGGGAACGCTATATATATATATATATATATATATATATATATATATATATATACATATATATATAATATATGTATGTATATAATATAGTCCTTCGAGCCGGATCTGAATCGTTCTGTTACGTACTATATATTAATTATGATATAATAGGTCCTATGAAATTGTTGTTTTGCTTGCTTGCTTGCTATTACTGATCTCCATTTTTATTCCAAAAAAAATAGTTTACATGCTAATGATTCAAGCTACGGACTAAGATAATATTTAAGGACGGATATGAAATTCCTCATAAGTTTGTATACTGACTTGCTAACCCTAAACAATGTATATTACAATTATAATATATAACAAGTATAAATTTAAATAATTTATTAATGTATAAATGATTAAATATATATTATTTTCTATATATTTCTCTTTAAAAATTTATAGTACACTCGAAATACTTAATTAGACCATACATTTATTATATATATATGACCTTTTTTGTTATATGATTATTTTTTATTTTTATATTTGTGTACTAACCATCAAGGGTAGGCTCGTTTATATTCGAAAAAAAAAATCCATTAAGGGTGGTAACTTTAATCTTCTTTAATCTTTTCAGTTTCAGAAGTCAGTCGTTTTAATTCTCTATACATTATGTGTTAGCACCGAATTCAGAAGCTATTATAGTGAAATTATAACTGACTTAAAATCGTTCCAACATCTTAGTGTACCTTTATTTTTCTTCCTAGTCTCTCATTTTATGTGGCGTTGGCTGCCACCACGCTGGCTTACTGTTCGAGGAGAGAACGAATATAGAGCAAGCGTTCCGATGTAGTGACCTTCCCATATTAATAACTACAACCACTCTTGGTAATTTGATTTTAAATATAATATTACTTAGTATATATTATTATAAGAGCGGAACGACATAATTCATCAGCACAGGTTTTGCGGGCAGGTGTTTGGCAGGCGCTTATTGGCGATCGCAGTTTCAGACATTTTACACCTCTACGTAGATTTTTGTTTTTCCCATAGCCGCCTCTTATGACACCTGCGGGGCAAAACTTGGTGAAAGATTTCTTATGACGTCACTACAAGGCAAGCACGGTAAATACTTTTGTTATGCCGTCACTACAAGCTCGGTAAATATTTTAAATATAATTCATCATTTACCGAATAGTGGTGGTGTAAGGTTTATGGATGATCATAACCCCTGCGAAGGAGCTGATTGCTAGCATGCCATTTCTAATTTATTTTGTGTTATTAATTGTGTAATATACATGATTGAAAGCTGTTATTTAAAAAAAAGTTCCGCTGGGTTTCTTGCTGGTTGTTTCCAGGACAGAGTTTTTTTTCCAATCCTAAATTAAATTAAACAAACTAAATTAAACAAAAGAGTGACTTTCAGTAAGTATAATTTATAATCTATATTGAATAAGAAAAGTTTCTGTTTCTCTTTCTACTACCCTATATCATCCCGTGGGTGTAGAGACGTAAGAGGCGATAGAGGGAACGTCTTCCTAATAACTACTAAAAATAAAAAACTGCGGTGTTCAACCCGCTTGCCAAGCGTGACAACTGTGACGAATATCCCCTTTATGAGGCAATCTATGGGGGATGCTTATGTTCAGTAGTGGACTTAAATAGGTTGTAACGGTAACGATAATTCATCATTATCGACCTATAAAAGGCCATTGCTGAATACAACGGTACTCTTCCATAGTAAGAAAAATATTAACCGTGTTCGCTGTAATTCACATCTGTATAATATTTTTGGATATTTCATCATGCATTGTCAATTAACATTTATGGCATTATTTATATGTATGTACTTATATTTTAGTCTTTATTATCAAGTCACATCTCGTAGACGAAGATTTTTTTATTTTCTTTTTTTACAACACGTAAGTACATTAATCTCTTCCCTTTTTGCAAGATTATTCTTAGCATAAAATATATTTTGTCTAATGAAATGTTACGTATCAAAATATCTCGCAAACGTTATTATGACTGCGAATTTAATAGCAAAATTTTGTTAAAAGCTTCTCTTGAAACGACGTACTCGGAAAAACTGTTTTTCAGCGTCGTTACTATCGCCTCTTTATATTCTAATATAGCATACCTTTTATATCATATTGTTAAATTGTAGTTCCACTGCCAATTGAATTTAATGCACATGAAACCAAAAAAGCCATCGCAATATCGCCAGCTACTAAATTGTTCTTGCAACATAGGTGTTTGGGTATGTTCGTCGAGTCTTACAACATTCTGCGGCATCTTATGGGCTAGTACAATACAATCTTTAAACAAATAGATAAAACTAAGTAGCAACTTGAAAATATATTACTAAATGCCTTTTCATCTGCTGATGCTAGGTGATGGAATTCACATTTTCACGTGTCCTAGAAATGGATTTATATGTTTAAATCCCTTTTTACATTATGCCATTATGTTAATTGTCATAAATGGAAATTATTTTTGTTTTCAGCTATGGGTGTAAATTTACCAGCGCATCTTGTTATAATTAAAAACACTCAGCAATATGTGAACGGCGCTTATCAGGTAAGCTTTTTAACATATATCTGGTGTCCGATAATTAATGGATAACCTAGAAATGGTTCATGTCAAATCAGAACTTATGGCCATTCAGAAAAAATACAAAACAATACTAAATATTAAACATGGAGTGACGACCTGGTAAGATATGCAGGAAGTCGATGGATGCAGGTGGCTCAGGACCGTGTTTTGTGGCATTCCTTGGGGGAGGCCTATGTTCAGCAGTGGACTTGTGAAGGGCTGTAATGATGATGATGATGATACTAAATATTCCAAGTAGTACATAAGAGACTTTATTCCATCGGTTATTATAATAATATTATTATTATAGGTAAGTTAACTGGGCTAATAAGTTACTACTATTATAATTATTACAAGTCCCCTAAGGCACGTCACTCCATCTAGTGGGGGGTCGCCCTACACTTCACATACCGGTACGAAGCTGCCACTCGAGAACCTTTTTTTCCCATCGGTTGTCGGTTCTTCGAGATATATGGCCGGCCCATTGCCACTTCAGCGTACTAATCCGTTGGGCTATGTCGTTTACTCTGGTTCAACTGCGGATATCCTCATTTCTAAGTTTATCACGCAGAGAAATCCCGAGCATAGCCCTCTCCATAGCTCGCTGAGCGAACTTGAGCGTCCTCATACGGCCAGCAGTGAAAGACCACGTCTCAGTTCCATAGGTCATCACTGGCAACACGCACTGATTGTACAATTTCGTTTTCAAGTTTTGAGGTGTACCTGACGAGAAGATGTGTCGTAATTTCCCGACCGCTGCCCAGCTGAATTGAATCCGCCACAAACCTACTCGTCAACAACTTCGACCTTAGTGCTCCCAACAATTACCGGCATAGGTGTGACATGGACACTAAACATTATCTTTGTCGTGTCCATGTTCATCTTAAGACCTATCCGTTGGGAGACACTATTGAGGTCATTCAGCATAGTGCTTAAGTTCTCCAGCGATTCTGTCAAAAGGACTATATGAGGGCGACACTGAAAGTTTTTAGAACTGGCTACTTGTAAACGAGATAATAAAATAATAAGTTCAAATTTTGAAAATAGAACTCTTGCCAATATTATTGTGTATGTATTTTATTAATTTGTCATTTGTTTACGATTTGGCGGCAAATTAAAAATTGTCTGTGTCACGTCAGCATGAATTTAACGCGAGAAAATTTTCGTACCATGATTTTTTATGACTTTCGATGTCATTTAAGTCAACAAGAAAGTTATGATAGACTTCGATTGGCCTTTCTCAATGAAGCCCCATCTCGTGCCACTGTTTACAACTGGTTTAATGAGTTTAAACGTGGTCGCACTAATCTCACCGATGATCTGCTTGAGGGACGGCCTTCTACGGCAACGACTGATCATAACATCAGTGTTGTTCGGCGCATGATAGAGGCTTACAAAAGAGTGACTTATCAGCAGATTCAGACAAGCTTAGGCATCGGTATGAGTCAAGTGCACAAAATCCTCCATGAACATTTAGCGGTCAGGAAGCTGTGCCCGGTGGATACCTCATAATTTGACAGACGCCCAAAAACTCCGTCGTGTTGATTGGTGACGTGAGTGATTCAAAGATTTAACGGAGGTGACACAAATGCTGTGTTCGAAATATTTACGGGTGACGAAAGCCGGATTTATTGTTATGATCCTGAAACTAAGAGACAGTCTGCTGTTTGGGTGTTTCCTTCCGAGGAGTTGCCAACTAAAGTGAAGAGAGTCGAAGCGTGGGAAAAAAGATGGTGGCCTCATTGTTAGGAAGGACAAGTCATTACGCAACAATTGTTTTAGAGGATCGAAAAACAGTTACTGCAGTGTGGTACAGTAACAATTGTTTGCCACTTGTCATGGAAAAAGTTTGTACTACCTCGCAGTAGGATCCTCATTCACCACGACAATACCTCGTCGTACATCGCCAAGCAAACAATCGACTACTTGGCGACGTCAGACGTGGAATTACTGGGTCACCCGCCTTATAGCCCCGACCTCGCACCTTGCGATTTTTATTTATTTCCGAAAATAAAAGAAAAACTTCGAGGAAACCGTTTTATGGGTGCTGAGGAAGCAGTGGCTGCGTTTCAAAATGCCGTCGAAGAGACCCCTAAGGACGAGTGGACAAAGTGCTTTTCTCCGTGGTTCCAACGGAAGCAGCGTTGTATTGATGTAAATGGACACTATTTTAAAAAGATATAATAAAAGTAATAACTTGCTAGTTTGTTCAATTTCTGATTTTCTAAGAACTTTCAGTGTCACCCTCGTATAGTCGGCAAATTGAAGGTGAGTGATGTATTCGCCATTGATGTTAATACCATATCCTTTCCAGTCCAGAAGCTTGAAAAATTCTTCCAATACAGCGGTGAAGTTTCGGGTATATAACGTCACCCTGCCCTATACCTCTCTGCAGTTGGATAGGTTTCGTATTCTGATTCCGTACTCGGATAGCCATCTTAGCCCTACTGTACAAATACTTCATAACTTAGATATACCGACAGTCAATTAGGTACCGCTGAAGGGACTGTAGCACCGCCCAAATTTCGACGGAATCAAAGGCTTTCTCATAGTTCACATACGCAAGACAAAGTGGCAGAATGTACTCTTCTGTCTTCTGTACAATTTGCCGAAGGGTGTGTATGTAGTCTATGGTACCAAAGCCTATTCGTAAACCAGCTTGTTCGGGAGGCTGGAAGTCATTGAGTCTGCGTGCGAGACGATTCGCAATGACTCTCGAAAACAGCACGTAGACGTGGCTCAGATGGGAAATCGGTCTGTAGTTCTTCAAGAGAGTGTTGTCGCCTTTCTCGAAGAACAAGACCACCACACTTCTGCTCTACGCCTCCGGAGTAGTCCAACCATGGAGGACGGAATTAAAGAGCTTCTGAGGTACTTCAAGTACCGGTTTTCCACCCGCTTTCAGGAGCTCCACTGTAATTCCATTCTCGCCTGGGGCCCTATCTTTTTTTAGGTGCTGGCGAGCCATTCTAATCTCGCTCAGACTGATGTCCGGGATATCATCGGAATAGTGTCAAATAAGACTTGTTCTTGGATCGTTACTCACACTTGCGTGTAACTCCAACTATGATGTGTACATCAATATAAGCTGTATTTAAGTTGCGTAAGTTATGCCGCATGCATTTAAATATTTGTCTGGTCAGTTGCCTGTATGCTGTCAAATCTGTTGAAGACTGCAGCCTTATTTCCCGTCTAACAGACATGAGATTAAGAGTGTGATCGAAGGTTTTTGTGTTCTTCTGCGGCGGGTCTTGCAGAACTTAGCTCTGACCGCTTGGACAGTTTCCACGAGCTTGTCATGCATTGCATTGCAGTCTTCTAGGTACTGAAAACTGTTTTGTAACTCGAGCTGAAAGGTTTCAGGACTCTGGATTAGAGCACGAGGGGGACGGAGCGTTGACTTCATTAGACAAGAACTCTCCAACTTAACGTTTAGGTTCAGTGTGCCTCTAATCATTCGGTGATCACTGCCAGTTTTCACCTCTGCGATTACTGAGACATCACTGAACAGTTGTCGTCTGATCGTCATAATGAAGTCAATCTCTTTTTTTGTCGAACCGTCGGGGCTCGACCAGATCCACTTCCTGTGGGGCCGCTTCTGGAAAAAGAGTTCATCATAAAGAGTCCCTCTTTCTCCATGAAGTCGTCCAGCTGCTGGCCCCTTGGGTTACGTTGCCCTGTTCCAAATTTCCCTACCTTCAGCTCACCGTTCTCTCTTTTCTGGTTTTGCATTGAAGTCTTCTATTAACACCGTATAGTGTGTTTTGGGGGAATGCATGGCTTTTTGCATACATTTCCTCCAACTCCTCAACGTGATGTGCCGAGGTTGGTGCGTAAACCTGTATGACCTTCAACGAATACCGTTTGGTGATACTGAGTATAAGGTACGCAACCCTCGTCGACACAATCTCAATCTTTTCAACGTTGTTAACGAGAGACTTGTGGACGATAAATCCGACACCACCTTGGGGCAGATGGTCGCCCTCCCAGTAATAGAACAAGTTGCCGGATTCGAGGATTACCGTGTCCTCCCCTCTCTTCAGACCTCGGATAATCCTATAATATGCCAGCGTAACTTAACTACATCACTTCTTCCAGCTCAGACAGTCCTCAGGGTGCGTGCGTTGTATGTTGTCAGGTCGAGGCATCTTAGGTGGCAACCGAACCTCCACCGGAGATTCTTAGCACCCCTTGCCCCGCCGTTACCATGGTCGTCATCGTAGCCAGGAATAGCGGGGCCACCGGGGAGGGGAGGCCATCTCTTCGTATGCTATATACAAGTTCAAGACATTTTTTTAAAGTTTAATTACATTTGATTGTAATACGTATATATGTAGTGTCATTTTGTTCGATAACTTGTACTCGTAGGTAGTGATATAATCCCGTAGCTGTAGAAATCTTGGGATTTTGATCAAAAAAAATGCGACAAGTAGTTTTTATAGTCCGTTCTTGATATTAACCTAACACTACCCAAAGAATTCTGAAGAGACCGAAACAGGTGAAAATAGGTCAGGACTATATGGTGGATGCATTAAAAAATCCCAACCAAGCTCTCTCAATTTTTGCTTAGTGGCCAAAGATGTGTGTGGTCTGGTGTTATCATAATGAACGACCACTCCTTTTCTGTTGATCATTTCCTGCCGTTTTTTCAATTTCTCGCTTGAGTCTCATTAGTTGTTGTCATTGAGTTTTCCCCGGCGGTAAAACCTCATAATAAACGATGCCCATACAATCCAATACTCCAATCCCACCATGCTAAAATTTTTGGGTTACAGGATTTCGATAGTTTGTGGAGCTTGGCTACCCTTTGACCATGATCTTTTTCGCACGTCCTTGTCGTATGTAATCCACTTTTCATCACTAGTGATCAATCTTTTTAAATATGGTTCGATTGCATTATGTTTTAATAGAATCGCAAATGAGTACACGATTCATTAGGTTTCTATACTGATTTCTTATATTTATGCGAACACTACACATTTAAATAAAACTAATTTTACGGATTTTATCGCTTATTACTTATACTTTGTTATATTCCCGACGTTTCGAGTACTTTACAGCACCAATGGTCACGGGGACCATGGGTCTTGTAAAGGGGGAGCAACTTTGTGCTACTCTTACTGACACTGCTTTAGGTCCATAAGTGTCACAAGCTTTTTTGGCGGCTTGAGTCGCATTTTTTCCTTGTCTGCCGACTTCCAAAAAGGAGACGGTACTCAATTCGACTGTATGTTTTTTTAATTACCTCATAACTTTTTATTGCGTGAACCGATTTCGATTCTCTTTTTTTATTTGAAAGATGATACTTCTCGTGTGGTAATTTGGTGGTATTAATTTTATCAAGGTTAGACGAATAGTTTTTGAGTTATTCTTAATAACTTATATTGAAGTCGACTGTACAAATTTTTTAATTTTAAATTATTTGTAATAAAACTTCAGAATGTATCGGATTTCTTCGTTAGCTTCACTCATAGATTACCTCCTAATAATCTATGGCTTCACTAATGTTAGCGGACATAAAACAATTGAAAAATGGCGGGAAAGTGATTTTTACTTTTTATTTTTCTTTTTTTATGTCCTATATGTATTGATATTAAAATTAGCCAGACAACAGCAACTACCAGTACAATCATAGAGATTTTTCTAAAATTTTATGCAAACAAAATAAGAAGAAACTTTTCCCCGGTCTAATATATCGTGTGTCTGGTTATTAATGGATAAGCTTGAAATGGGTAATGTTAAATCAGAATGGCCATTGAGGAAAAATACAAAATAATGTTAAATATACCAACTAGTACATAAGATATATTAAAAAAAACTAAACTTTTTTACCTTTTTTATAGGATAGGGTGACAAACGAGCACACAGTCCGCCTGATGGTAAGTGGTTGCTGTGGTCCATAGACATCTATCCGCGTTGGCGAATCAAAATGTAGATGCATTATCAGCCGTGAGGACTAAGAAGGAATGCCTCGTTTCCAGTAAAAAGGGTTACCGGTTCTCTACACTTACCATACGAAACACAGCAGCATTAAGCTGCTACCCGGGTCGAGCCGACCCATTCGTGCTACAACTAACAATTAATAGCTGCAGCATGGCTCCACCACGTTTATAATCAGATGGATTGTAAGTTCTTTTATCACTCTGATGAAAGTAAGGAAATATAATGTATTCAAAAGTCTTTCTATCCTAAAGCATACTATGATGGTTTGTTGAAGGAGTACAGCATCAGCACGGTGCTGCAAATGGTGGGTCGCGCTGGTCGGCCGCAGTTCGACACTGAAGCCACCGCCGTTATAATGACGAGACTCACTGAGAAAGTACGTAGCTATTTTCTTTTTTTTTGCACGCTTTACTTTAGCTTAGGTACGAGTTTGGTGTATCTGTTTGGATATCCTGTAGTTTTGCAGAGATATTAAGAATTGATGACATTACAATTATTTTATATAGACCCAGTATTCTCACTAAGACCATCACGACTCACGCATTCGCATGCCGCCTCGTGCTCGGCAGAGAAGGAAAACATCGTGAGGAAACCTGCATTTCAGGGGAATAAGATATTTTGACGACATGTGAATTCCGCCAACACACACGAGAGCAACGTGTTGGATTAATTGCTTCATGTACGAACTATAAACGTTTCTACGAGGGGTGATCCAAAAATAATGAAAATAAAACACGGTAATTAAAGTTAAAATAATAATTTATTTTTCTACATAGTCTCCTAACAAATCAATACATTTAGTCCGTCTTTTTTCTAAACCCAGGACTCCCTTTGAAAAAAATTCTTTGTCTTGACCCTCCCAAAACGCTTCAACAGCGGCCATTACTTCGCTATCGTCTTCGAATTTCTTGCCTCGGAGAAACAGAGGTACTTGATGACAGCTCTAATTTCGTTTTTCTCCATGTTGATGTTATCTCTTTGACAGTTCGTATTCCAATGAATGTATCTCCCGGAAATCGTGATCTATTTATATGATTTTTTAGGCTGACGTAGTGAGTATATAAGCAAGCAAAAAATTTTTTTTTGGATTTTTATGCGGGCCTGAAGTAACCGATTATCATTACTTTTGGATCATCCCTCGTACAAATATTTGCTCTGGCTGGAATTTCAACTTGCGGTGTAGCAACCACATACTTTGAAAACCTCAAGTGTCAAATAAGTCGGGATCATCTCTTCTCACAGTCACTGATTTCATTAAAATTAAAACAAATTGTGAATTTTTATCATAAATTTATTCAATTGCTTACAGAAACACATGAATAAAATTACCCTATAAAGTTAAATATCACAATATTGTGATGTATTGTTACTTGGCATAATACGCGGCACTAAAATACATACATATCTTAGAGTATAGATGGCAAAAGTGGACGTTAATTAAACATTTGAATCACAGAGATGGTAACTTTTTCGGAAATGCAATTTTTAATTGCTTAAATTTAAATTTTCTTTCGTAATAAAACACTTGACAATGTCTTAACCTTATAGGTTATATTAATAAATTACTATAAAACTCCTTTAATTTTTAAACATACCAATATAAATAGTGCTTCTTTCTAGGTTTTTAAGTGGTCCGTTTTTAACGAAATTATAAATAATTTTCATGGTTTTCACTTACATTACTTTTTGAGATAGCTTGCATGTTTATTGTATTTACACTGGTCTTACGTACAGTCTTGATTTATTTACTTTTGCCGAATGGATTCGCGTTGTTTTCGAAGCTGATCTTAGGCACAAATCCGCTCTCACCTTCCACGGTGTACTCTACGTTCATAAGTCTACCGTCAGGGAGTAGTACCCGGTAACCTCCGACGACTTTCCCCTGTGCGTCTCCCGATTCATTGGCTCCGAAGTACAAAGTCTTCTCTGGATCTTCGACGTCGTATTTATATTCGTACTGTGTGAAAAAAAGCTTTATTAATATTCGTTTAAATATAATTTACGAAAGTCAATCAACCAAACTCCATCTGTCCCTGTCGTAAGAGTGGACTAAAGGAATGTCAAGAATATATTCTGACTTCTGGCAGCAAATGCAAGTCTAAAATATTCAAATCGGTGACGGAGTAAAGTGGCAAAGGTCCGTGAGATAATAATCGTAGTCGATCGCGAAATTACCTGCAAGGTGTGGCTATTATAGCGAATCCTCCCTATGGAGGAAAATAATTTCTGTGCAAAAGTAGGCTTTTTGCGGAATGAATAAAATATATTATATAAATAACTTAGGAAGTTATTATTTTCGAATCGAATTTAATGTTACTTTCATAAATCAATGTAGAAGCAAGTACAAGTCGATTGTTTTTTATACACTTCTGGTCTACGTATATCTCCACGATAATGGAGACAAGATAAATATAGTTTTGTCGTTGACTACGTTTCCAAGATTTCTCATTCATTAGTTTTTATAGCGTCAGTATTTATAAAATATTTCAATTAACATGTTATTCTCATATGTGAATATAATGATATAATATGTAAAAAACCTTGAGTTGCTTAGTTCAAAAAAAGGCAATTTTCAAAGAATGTTATAAATCTTAGAAGAAGACTCGTGAGAAAAATTGCTCATTTGTAATAACCATTATTTATATTATAATAAGCGTCTCTTTGGTTTTATTAATGACCGTTAGTAAATGAAAATAGGAATTTCAAAAAATATATATTCAATGCCATATTCGAAACATGGTTAAAAGGTAATTTATATTGAAATATTTTTCTACAAAAAATCTCGTTGTTTTTCTCTAAGTACGAATTACATCATAATTTTTAATCGCTTTTGGCCTTGGCTAAGCGCATTAATAAATTTTCAAATATTGTATTTCATAGTATAGTGTTAATATCTTTTAATCTAAACATATATAATACTAGCTGGTACCGGGCGCGTTGCTGCCACTGAAGAAATAATAGTGAAAATATCGTTTTAAATTTGGAAGTGTTATATTGTTTAATTAGGCATCATAATATATTCATTGAAGTTAACTCGTGAGCAACTGTAAGCTAATTGTACTATACCTATAATCTGCGCAAGTACAAACAATAAGTTGACAAAGATTTACCGCAATCTACTGAACGGTATGGTAGCGCATAAAATACGACACAAATACTATTAATATAGATCCAGCATGGCTCTACCACGTGAAAAAGCTTGCATCATATTGCTCAATCAGCATTGATAGGGGATTTTGTGGCGTATCGTTACTTGCGATAAGGAGTGGATTCTATACGACAATTGCAAGTACTCATCGTTGTGTTTACATGCAGGTGCCCAATTTAAATAGTGCCCGAAACGAAAGGTTTTGTAGTTACTGCTGGTGTTATTCACTAAAGCTTCTTGCCACTGGTGCCACAGTTACCATTATTGTAAGGAATTGCAAATTATAATTAAGAAGCTGGCACTGAACCAAGATTGGTAAACTACTCTTTGTGACACTTACTTTTACATGACAACGCTCGGTCACATACTGCACAACAGACTTTGTCAAAATAAGCAGAGGTAAAACTACGAACTTTTCCTTCTTCTACTTTTTTGTAGCTTAATAACATTATAAGGAACGATAAAGAATGCCTTTAAAGAATAATAAGATAACTATTCTCGTGTACTTCTACGGCAAGGGCATCAACATTCTGGCCATAAAGTAGCAAGAATTCGTTTATAATTCAATCAAATGTTCTGATTAAAGTTTTTTTTTTTTGTAAAAAAGAACCATTTATTTTTTTCCATACGCAACAGCAATTTCGTAGGTAAAGATCTGATACACAGCACGTATTAGTTCGAGAAGTAAAAAAAGTGTAAAGTTTTAGGCTGTCGTAAGTCCTGTGCAAAGGCTTTCTTCATTTCTGAAAGAAGTAATACAAACAATAGATTTCTTAAGACACTTTTAGCAACAATATACATAATAAACGGTATTTGAACTTGAATAAATATATTATAATGTGCTAAATAAATCTCTTGTCTCAAAGCACACAATGTGATTCCATTAGGTTTTTATTGTTCAGTGTAACCACTATAATCGTGATAAACTGCGATAAGAAACACGGTGTGCACACAAAGACGGTTTAACGCAATTGCGTCCAATTAGTGACTTGGTGTTCAAATGTTCACATGGTAAACATAATACCCAGTTACCGAGATGCACCAGATAGCGGCGGATTGAAGACGTGTTAACTTATAGTCTAGGAACTGTTAACATCACCTGTAATTAACTATATACTGACCTTACAACGTTATTCATAATAATTGTGATTTTTAATTAACAAAGTTGTATCTATTATTGCTGTTTAAAGTCGTTACAATATACTACATAAAGTATGTATACAAGTATTTCTTACATTTAACACTGCGTATAACAATTAAAACTAAAAATTTGTTATAACAATATATGAAGAAGGCGATACAAGTGTTATAACTATACATTAAAGAGAACATTTGTGTCTATGTACCTTTAGTTACATTTTACTACTTCCTATTTCTCCTATTTTCTAGAAATACTAGTGGTGGTGATCTTTTCTGCTTAAAAGCAGCTATGCCAAGAATATATTTGGTACCACCTGGTTCTTGCCACAAAGTAGTGGTGCAACCACTACTGCTGTGTTTGAAGGATAATTACAAGCTAATGTGAGGGAATTTTAAATTAACCTACAGGAGTGACAACAAACAACTCACCTTTGGCATCCTTTGTTTTTAAGTTTTTTGAAGAGTAGCTTCTAGGTATGTTAGCTTATTCGTCACTCTATTAAAAATAACTTACCGGTGTCGGTGGACCCGCGTCTTCTTGCGGCGCAGGCGCGGACATTCCTTGCCTTACGATCACACACATCGCTACCACGGTGCACACCATCCATTTTGTTGATGACATCTATTACAAAAAACAATATTTATTGCCAATCATCATTTTAAAAAACCCTAAAGATTAGCTCCCTGAGATTGAGCACAAATATCATTAATCAAAATCTGGATTATTGGCCATGAATTAAACGCACAAACTCACAGCCGGTCGGGGCCGAGAAAGTAGTTTCTTCGTATTTCGTTTGTATAAAATTGAATAAAAATCGCTTTGGTTATATTGGTTGTACCTGGCTGGTTTTAAAATCAATTCCTATAGTACATTAAGAAAAAAAGAAGTAAAAAACACTTTCCCGCCATTATTCATTTGTTTTTCTGTCAGTCAAAATGAGTGAATCTATCGTAGAAATTCGATACATTCTGAAGTTTTATTACAAAAAAGGGAAAATTTTTACTCAAGCCACGAAAAAAAATTGTGACGTTTATGAACTTAATGCAGTGTCAGTAAGAGTAGCACAAAGTTGGTTCAAGCGTTTTCATTCCGGAAATTTTGATGTCAAAGATGCAGCTCGCTCTGGTCGCCCTCATACGGATATAGTTGATGCCATTTTTGAAAAAGTGGAGCAAGATTGGCATATTAATAATTACGACATAGCCGAGGAATTGAGGTTTGACCACAAAACAGTTTGACCTATTTGAAAAAGTCTGGCTATACAAAAAAAGCTCGATATTTGGATACCACACGAGTTCACTGAAAGAAACCGAATGAAACGTGTACTCATCTGCGATTCTCTATTGAAACGTAATGAAACTGAACCATTTTTGAAAAGATTTATCATTGGCGATAAAAAGTGGATCATCTACGACAAGAACATGCGAAAAAGATTATAGTCAAAGTGTAGTCAAGCTCCACAGACTGTAGCGAAACCCGGATTAACACACAATAAGGTGATGCTGTGTGTATGGTTCGATTGGAAGGGCATCGTTTATTATGAGCTATTAACGCCGGGCAAAGCCATCGATTCAAATCTCTACTGCCAACAACTAATGAGACTCAAGCAAGAAATTGAGAAAAAAAAAGGCCGGAATTGATCCACAGAAAAGGAGTGGTCTTACATCCAAAGATGTGTGCTGTCTGGCGTTATCATGATAACGCCAGACAGCACACATCTTTGGCCACTCAGCAAAAATTGAGAGAGCTTGGTTGGGAAGTGTTAATGCATCCACCATATAATCCTGACCTTGCACCCTCAGATTTTCACCTGTTTCGGTCGCTTCAGAATTCTTTGGGTAGTTTTAGGTTAACATCAAGAGAGGACTTCAGTATATTTCAACTTTTATTATTAATTTCTATTTTTTATGGAAGTAAGATTGATAAACGAGCATGCAGTCTACCTGATGGTAAGTGGATGCTATGGTACACCTACTATCGTCTCTTAAAAATTAAAATGCAAATGTGTAACAGGTAGGTATACCTGTTTATCAAAGACATCAGCCTCTTAGCCAAATAGTTACTTTTTTTAACTAATTGTCTTGTACCTACTGTTAAACAGTACTAGATAATCAAGTTATTTTTATGTTGTCACCTGTGACGACTAAGATCAGATTCCTCGTTACCAGTAAAAAAGTAAAAAAGGGTCTTGGTTAGAGACACAACTCACGACACAGCAGCATTAAGCTACTTCATGCTGGTATTCTGTGAGAGCGCGAGCGTGCTCCCTCCCCGGGCCGGCTGCAAAACGTCGATGGATGCAGTTAGATCAGGATTTTGGCATTCTATGGGCCAGGCGTATGTTCAACCATTGAAGTAATATGTACTATACGTACTAGAAGAGAAGCCTAGAGTTGGTTCTTTGCAGCAAGCGTTAGAGCCGCAAACTCAAAATAAACATTCGTAGTAAAAAATAAAGACATAAACATATATGTATTAAAAATTAGCTTCACATGAACTTTGAAAAATAAAATAATTGATAACAGTAATAAAATAAAATTCGGTAAACAAACAAGGAAACCTACCTATATTCTATAAATATACCTATAGGAAATATAAATTTTAAATACGGAGATCAATATCTATGTTATTTATACTTACGTATATTTTTGATAAAATCTTACATACTTAGATATTACAAACATAACATTGCAGTGGATAATATATAGACAGTTATTTGTTTTTAATGCAACTAACAATTTTAAAACGCTATTTTCAAAGATCCTTGAGTTTTATGTTTAAATAACACGTATATATAAGCATCGGTACCTATGTAATAATTGATAGACTATGATGTGGAATGTCATTGTATCATCTCGTGGACCTTGCATACTTGTAAATCGAGGCTGACTAATAAAAAAACACTCGGTACTATTTAATGTTAATTAGGCTACCTTTACAGGAATAAAAATAATTCTCCAATAATTAACACGTTGACTGTTAATAAACCATAAGATAATGACCGATAGATTCAAGTCAAGATCTTTTCACACGCGAATCGTCATCCGTGTCATCGATTCAAAGAATATAGGAATAAAACGATTCGCTTAAAAAAGTTGTGAATCATCTTTCAACCTTTAATTATCTGTAAAATATTTGTTTCTTTACACTTTTTGCATTTTGAACAAAATATACAATAAATACATATTTTATGTTTCTGAAACACGGTATAATATGTTTGTATTCGCAATTTGTTCTCGTTTGATCATATCGATTTTAAAGTAAATTTATGTTTGTAGAAATTTAAATAATTTTAAATTTAATTAAACATAAGTTTGGTCGTGAACTTTTTATAATTATGTAATTTTGTATTTTTTTAATCATATTATATCTGATTACTTAGTTTTATTCCTTGTAATAAATAACACCTAAGAAACATAAATAGGTAGAAATAGGTAAAAAAAAAAGAAATTGTCTCACTTGTAGAGGTACAATAATTTTCCTACCGCGAGGTAGGAAAGTTATTGTTTACTTACTTCTTACTAATTATGCTTATAACGACATCTTGTACATACTAACAATCAGAAATTATTGTAGGCAGTGGATATATAAGGCGAAAGGAAGAGCACAGACTGAAACTCAGTCGTCTTTACTTTACCATGCGATAAAAGGAAAATAATATATAGCTATATAGTATTTTTTTTTATAGAAGAAGGGTGACAAACGAGCACATCTATCTTCGTTTGCGAATTATAATGCAGATGCGTTGTCACCCGTGAGGACTATGATAGAATGCCTCTTTTCCAGTAAAATGGGTCTTCGGTTCTCTACACTCACCATACGAAACACAGCAGCATTAAGCTGCTGTTTTACGCTGGTATTCTGTGAGAGCGTGGTCCTTCCCCGGTCGAGTCGACCCATTTGTGCTACAACTATACTATTAATATAGCTGCAGCATGGGTCTACCACGTAAAAAATGCTAGTTGGACATGGCTATAGTATATTAGTTGGCCAGGCAAACTTTTTTCTGCCCTTCCTGCAACCCTTTGTTCTTTAAAAAAACCTTTAAATGCGCAATAAAAAATATAGAGCGTCGATTATCGGGATATAAACTATCCAATCTCTCAAGTTGGAGCAAGCAATACACATTTAGAAAATTTGCATAGTAACAGCCATAGTAGCGAGCCGTTTTATCTCATATAGCACTTGCACTTGCAGGTACTTACTCGTATATCTTGGTTCTTTATTCAGAACAGAAACTACAGTAACTAGTTACTTTCATGACGTGCAGTGTTTCATTTCGACACTCTTATCCAATCGTAAAATATTATTAATAACTTTGGCCTATGAAGATTTATAAAGCAGTTGTTAATTAATGAAGGACACAGTAATTTGCATACATACAACATACATAGCTCAATGGATTAGTAAGCTGAAGTGGTTTTGGACCGGCCATACAGGACCGCGCTTTGTGGCTTTCCTTGGGGGAGGCCTATGTTCAGCAGTGGACTTGTAAAGGGCTGTAATGATGATGATGATGACAGTAATTTGCATAAGACATAGACATAGACATGCATCTATTCAGCAACATACACTCATACAGTTTTGATACAGAAAATAAAATAATACATAAAAACATCAAAGATAAAAGTAAATAACAAAAAAAAAAAACAGTCATAAAATGATCCGATTGCATGAGTGATGTGATGCTGAAAAGGGCACTGACTCAACGTAATGCTATCGCAGGATTGCGGTAGCGTTGGTTTTCAGCAATGCCCATTGAGGTTGGACTCGCCCGCGAGGATAGTATGTTCGCTTTATTTCTATTTTCGAGAAAGATGTTATCAAAATAATAAAATAAAATAATGGAAACGAAAAAGGATGGGAACTTTATTTATGCAGTAGGTATATATAAATGTATATAATAAATAATATAATGAGTATATACAATAAAACAATATAGATATTTATGTAATACTATGAAAATATAATGCAGCTATTTTATCCGCCCTAAATATTAAAGTGACAAAAATATTCTTTTACTTTTACTTTGAAAAGGCTGATGGTATTTAGTTGGCGAATAGGTGGGGGCAAGTTGTTCCAGCATTTAGTAGCTGCATATCGGAAACTACCGCGGAATGCTGCCGTTGTGTGTTTTGGTATTGAAAGAACATTTGATTTTGTTCGAATATCCTTAAAATTACCGTCCTTGCGCTATTTTAGTTTTTCTAATAGATACTGGGGCTTTTTGTTTTGAAAGACACCGAACATTAGTGTTGCTAAATGTAGTGCTCTTAATTGGGACATTCTTAATAACTTTGATTTATTTAAAAAGGGACTGACGTGAGTTCGTGGGGGAATGTGGTGTATATACCTGGCACATGCATTTTAGATCCTCTGAATTATTTGGTCAGTTTTCGAAAGTAACCTTGGTCCATATACCGTATCGGCATAGTTTAGCCTGGAGAGTACAAAGGAGTTGCAAAGGTTAACGCGCAGATCTTCACTCAAAAAGTCACGTATTCGGTATAATACTTTTAGTCTGTAAAAGCAATTACGTGTGATCTCGATCACGAGTCTCTCAAAGCGAAGCGCGTCATCCATCAGCAACCCCAGATTCTTAGTTTCAGTTACACGATTTA